GAAGAAAACTGTTTTGGAAAGAACATAATAAGTTTTCCATTCAAGATTTCTTTCCATAATTTCATTTATGACTATTCCTTAGTGCCAAAGCACACAATGCGTTGCGGCAGCGGTGCGACGCCGGAGCGGTGTCGCTGCGTCGTCTTACAAAAAGATCTGAGGAGGGTACACGAGTGGTGCGGCGCGCGATTCAGCGAATTCATTGCGATACTTTGTATTGGTGTGCTTTTGATCTCATCATGTAATTTAAAATATTTTTATATGTAAAAATATGGAAATAATAGCATTTGCCCGCGGCTTCACCCGCGAGAAATTTAGTTTGTATAAATTATCGTCATAAATTATAGCCTCTATGTTATTCTGGGCTATAAACAATAATACTGGAAAGTTTCATCAAAATCCGTTTAGTAGTTTTTGCGTGAAAGAGTAACAAACACCCAGACATCCATACAAACTTTCGCATTTATAATATTAGTGGGAAAATACATCTTACGTATTTACATGGCAATGAAAACACTTTTTCTACATTAGTGAATGTTATATTCAAGCCTTTTTTTTAAAAGGCCAAATTTGTAAACCTCGTCCCTGAATTTATTTGGTATCCTGCCAAATGAGAACTTTATTTGAGTAGGACCCCATTTTGGCGTGACCCAGCATTTTCCTTATTTTGTAAAAAGCAAAAGGATAATACCGCCATATGGGTGAAATGAACCACTGCCTCCTATAAAGGAACTTATTTTACACTGAAAAGAACTCTGAAACACTCAAACATATTGAATTAAATCGAATCATTTATTTGTGATACATACTCGTACGAGTACAAAGCTAAAACAGTAGTTAATGTAAGTACATATTTACAGTAACTTTAAGTACAATTTCGTTGCAAAATCGAACAAATTGTAAGTTGTCACACTGTTTACTTAGATGCCATCATTACAAAGCAGTCTGTAATTACTGTGTACTTTAAGCACACGTTTTATTCTTTGTTTATTTTATTTTATTCTGATTTATACATTACATACTTCAATACCACGAGGGGCTAACGGGACTATTAGTGATTTGGGCAATACAAATTGCTAATAATCTTAAAAAAATACAATAGTTGCAATTGTGGTTGTAACGATATGAAATTTTAATATAATGAATAAGTAGCTACATAACATTAAAATATGGAAATAACCCACATTTTTCTACATGACATCAACTTATAAATCACTGATTGAAAGCGGGAACTAAAGTATTCTAATACGTTATGGTAGGCGTGTATGGAATTCCATGGTTATGAATGATGTTATGGCTCTGTCCCACATACGCGGCATAACTAGAAAACACGAGCTTTATCGTTTCCATCCTTGAGTAAGTTTCCGCGGGAAAAAGTAAATAAGGGAAGAAATAAATCTCTTTGAGCTATGAATTATTTGAACGAAATGTTTGTTTCTCAAATGAAAGCGAAATCTCTTGATGCTTTCAATATTTTTGTTGAGAAGATTTAATTTTTTCATTAGGTTATCTACATTCATAGCTTACAGACTTTAAGGTTGGGATGCACCATCTTACTTTAACTTTGTCAAACGTCAAAAATCTGTCAAACTCCATACAAAAAGCACTGTTTTTTTTGTTAAAGTTACCGTTAAAGTTAGGTGGTGCAACTCAGTCTTAGGCTGGGTTGCAACATCTTACTTTGACTTTAAAAAACGTCAAAAATCTTTCAAACTCCATACAAAAAGCACTGGTTATCGTTAAAGTTGCGGTTAAAGTTAGGTGGTGCAACTCAGCCTTGGTAGTGTCCTTGAATTCACTAATTTACTTTCCTAATAAAATGAGATTTAATTATTTTCAAGTAAACACAACCTGCAAAGATAAGCAAAAATAGTAACTTATATTTAGCATTATTTAATAGTAGACCTACATTTTCACAGGGCACAATAATATTTTCTGCACCCAAGCCATATTTAATATAGTTGGCTATATTCCCCTTTCTACTCCCATATCTCGATTCCACAAATTAATGCACCTTCTGAATAGAATCTACAGGTTGACTGTCAATAAAATAAACCCAACCAGTGAAGGTTGAGTTGAGTTAAACTGTCATTGGACCCGCAACGAAATTAATCAGATGAAATACGTGGAATTCGAAGCTAAAATAAACATTGTCTAGTTATGTACGGATTAGTTGCTTCATTAGTAGACTAGGTACACGATTATGTGGGCAGACGTTTTGCCTCTACTATTTCTTAGAATTCATTTTTGTTTACATCTAGGTCTTTGTAAGTCTAGGTTATGGATATCAAGCTGTGCCACTGCAGAGTTCTTTTATTATTTTCGTGATTCCATCCTAAAATCGCAGTAGAGCTCCATGGACTGATATAATTAAAGGATACTAGCTTTTGCCCGCGGCTTCGTCTGCATTAATTCAGTCTGTCATAGAATAATTCATCCATATTCTATAGTCTATATTTATCAGAGATCGTGTATATTTCTAATGGTCAAAGAATTTTTCAAATCTTTCCAGTAGTTTTAGAGAAACAATCAAATCTTTATAATATCAGTGTACTTACTCTTAGATAAGATGTTCCTTTTTTCATATCGAATATTTCATATTTGTTATAAGTTGGAAGTCCTAAGCAGCAACATTTATAAAACTCTTTGTATTTTATGGCATTTACGTTATTTTATAAAAAACAATTAACTAACTAAACGATTTTTTAAATCCAATATGGTGCGTGGAATGTCATTTCCAGTCCATTCTCTCAATATGGTGTCAGATTTATCTGACAGCTCAGAATGACATCGTTAATTTGAAAACCGACGGGCCCATGATTAAAAATGTTGAAAATATGGGCTTCACTGGACATTGAAGTTACGTGTCCGAGATTGATTTTTTGCATTTAATACATAGCATAAGGGTGGAAAATGTATTCTTAAATGTAGATACTATACATTTTTAATGATAGTTAAGATCAGTATCAGAGAGCCTAGTGTGAGTTTTAAGCACGTTAAAAAATGACTTAAATGTATGACGGATTGTACAACGCCCCTAGCGGGAAACTTTCAAAAACTAAAATTTTCATACATTTTTTAAACGGGCTCACTGATGTAAACTCACACAGCCCACAGTTCTTCTCACTGAGCGTACATACTAGTACGTAGGTATGTTCTTAACTTTTCATATTCGTTTTTACTACTTCTATGAATCTTGTGGCAAACAGCGTTCTCTTGAATCACTTATTATGATTTGAATGTTCTATGACGAGGATAATAATGTATTAAATCTATACTTATAATATATCTGTAGAGAGGTCAATTCTGTACATGAAATATATTTTCAAAATAACTATCAGGGGGTGATTAGTGATCGATACTGATGCCAAAAATGCAATTAGTAAAATTTTTGTCTGTCTGTCTGTCTGTCTGTATGTTCCTTATAGTAGAAACAAAAACTACTCGACGGATTTTAACGAAACTTGGTACAATTATTCTTCATACTCCTGGGCAGGTTATAGGATACTTAGGAATTCCCACGGGAACGGGAATTAGCGGGCAAATCCTTTTGTATGAAAAATCTAAACCGCTTAAGTTAGACGCTTGAAATTTGGCATGCAGGTACCTTAGTAAACTTAAAGCTTAGTTACAACAGGATATTGCAAAATTCCCACGGGAAAGGGAGTTAGCGGGAAAAAACATTTGTATGAACAAATCTAAGCCGCGTTAGATATATGATTGGGGTAAAACGGGATCCACGCGTACGAAGTCGCGGGCGACCGCTAGTAATGACTAAAGTCAATATTGGCCTGCTGCAGGCGCAATGAAATGATGGCAGTGCAAACAACTTATATACATACCTACTCGTAATACGGTATCTTTATATACCTACTCGTAAAAGAGCTATTTAAAGTTAATAATAGTCTATTAGTAACATTATGTAATGACAACTTTTATGATTTGTACATACGGCGCGTTAAAAGCTTAGCTGAGCTTTCATATCCGAAGTAATGCTAGATTAATGGCAGAATGAGCGACTTATTTTTGTTTATGGATTTTCCACATGCATACGATGCGTCCTGCGGGCTGCAGTCAGAGCATGCTAACATTAATTTGTGTGTTACCCCAGCACAAACTTTTAACTTATTAAGTTATCTTAAAAAATATTTGTTAGTAAAAACTGCTTACTATAACTTGGACATCAGAAATTGCTGAAGTGTATTTTTTTTCTATGTCCAATAATGTCTATTAAGTTTAAAAAAAATAATAACAGGAAAAAATAATATAACTAAAAAGGAAAAGAGTTTTACATTTAAATAACTTACAAGTAATGATCCAGGAAGATGTTTTGTAAAATTATTTCCTTTATTGAGGATAATTCATTACGATTCTATAACATTACTAATTTAGTTTTAGTTGAATGTTAACATAGATCTAGGTTACTTCATGCTTTGGTGTAAAATAAAGGCGGAACAAAAATTAATTAGTTAAATTAATAAATTGATGGATTAACAATTAATTAAATAGTTCTGTGGAAGTAAATCAGTCCATGTTAATTAGTTTTTACAACCAAAAACCTTGGAGTACTTATAATTTAAAGGTAGGTATCCTATTTTTAAAGGTAGGTATGTAAAAATTTAATTTCAATAAAATAAAAAGATAATTTTAAGGAGAGTGACTTAAATATGCTAGTACAATCCACATTCACTAGTTCACCAGACTCCACATTAAGTAATGGAAAATACCTACCTATTACAACTAAATTAAATTCCAAATTATTAAGCTACCACCATATTTTTCTATTTTAAAAATAATGACCTCGATTTTAAAAAATCATACAAAAACATGAATGTTTTCCAGAAATACGTATACCTATCCTAATTGACAGACAAGACACTTATCCCATTTTTTAAAACGTCAAAAACATGAAGCTGTAATTCAGCATTCCAATTGAATGCACATACACTGCATCGCAGAAAACTGCATCCCAATTGCATCACATGCATGCAAACACTTACCCATAATCATTTTAAACACACTCACTCACACGGCGTTCTATTTTTAAACTCAAAAGTGTTCCTTTATTCGATTTTTAAATTTAAAAGTGTTCTTTTTTTGTTTTCGTAACGGTTTCGGAGGGCAGACGCGCGCTACCCCCACGCCGCCGGGATTGGTACTGAATTTACAGGGTGATACTGCACAGATAGGGTGGGTCTTGCTGTAAGGAAAAACGATTTGCAGGCGACAGCATTTTTACAAAAATCTGAGCTGGAAAATTAACTGAAAAGACTGAAAATTTAAATGCGTGAGTTCGCTTTTTTGTTATTTTAGTATTCAAGCTGTTATTGTCATAAAGTCTGGTTTAGCAGGATAGTTTAAACGCTTGTTTTGAACAGTCTAGCGGTATTTGATCGTAAATAAGGTTATTAAAGGTATGATATTTCGGGTAACTAGATGGGCAGGTTAATAAGATTTGCTTGTGATAAAATGAATTTACTAAACCTATCTTTTATCTCAAGCCTTTAGAATGAATATTTCATGAAGATTCAGAGGTGTAAGTTTTCGGTCAACGCCATAATTTTAAGTGTTTTCGGTGACAACTAAAGAGTTTTTTTTTAAATACGACCGATAATATAAACAAACATAGACAAAGTGAAATTCGGTTATCTCGAAATACCTATTACATAAAGAAGTTATGTCATTTAACCCTAGGGTCAAAGGTGTCAATATCCACAAATTCATGGTAATAATAACAATAATTAGGCTAATAATATCGGCATACCGGTTACCAGTTTATCCTCCTTCTTACATAACGCGACATAATCTTGACATAATTTACTCAATTAAATGAGCATTTCAAAACATTGTACTTATCTTATATTACTTGCTCACTTAAAATGCGAGCATAACTTTTCTGTGGAAATATCACTTTTATTGCTTTTCATGATCGAATACTTTTCAATTAAATAACTTACGGGCAAGAATTCTAAAAACTATATTTTTCATTTCAACTGGTATTTTTATTAAGAAAGGAAATTATTTTTTCAGTTTTCTAATATTTCTACAGAACGAGAATTCAATTAATACCGGTGGTGACAAAAGTTCCCAGAAATTTTTGGTAGTAGATGACCGCTGGGGAGTTTTGTCACCAAGATTTCATAAGATTTTTGGTCTGTGTTTCTTTGTCAATTTGGGCGTGTTCCTTTACATGTATGGAGATATGCTATTTTTGACATCAACGTTGGTAAATTTAGCGTTATCTGTGATATTTCTTTAATCTGTGAGCGTTTTGTGAGCGATGTAAAAAAATGTTGAAATGGAACACTCTCAGTTTGACATGAGCCGTCAAATGTCGGATTTTTGAAGTTTTTATTTTTTATAGAAGAAATATTCTTCAAGTTATGTTGTGCTCTTATGTTTATCTTACAATACATTAACCAATTGACCTAATGAATAAAAAAAATAAGTAGGTTATCGCTTTAATTACGGAAATATGACATACTTTAGCTCTCAGTTTGATATGAGCCGTCACACGTCCGATTTTTAAAGTTTTTATTTTTTATAGAAGAAACATTCTACAAGGTAAGTTGTGCTCTTATGTTTATCTTACAACACATTAACCAATAGACCTAATGAATAAAAAAAATAAGTAGGTTATCGATTTAATTACGGAAATATAACATACTTTAGCTCGAGTATTAGCCATTTCTACAGCTAGTTTCGACTTTCATAGTTCATTGTAATTAATAATGTACACAAAAAGCAACGATAACAACACTGTTTGAAAGCTACATTCATCTGCTATCATAAAAACGGCACTCCATTCATAGCCTTTCTAAGAAGCGGTCATAAACATTAGTTTTTACGACTAGGGTCCGACGCGCGGCGGGTGACGTCATGCGGTCGGTATTCAAGGCCGTTTTTTGTTTATGCGTCTGGTGCGCGAGCGGATTGATTCTTATTGAGCTATAACTTACAAAGAAATTTTCAGCCGAAAATAACAGAATTTCTATGAAAGCTGAATCGCGGTACCCTTATGATTGAACTGACCCATTTTGTAATGTAATATTCTAGAATATGGGCACCAATATGATCGTAACTCATTTATTATTGAATTTCCAATTGGCCAGTATAAAATAACATTATTGTTCTGAGAATATTTTTTCACGTAACGTTATTGTGGTGTTATGAAAAAATAACTGTATTTTCAAGTAATTATTTGAAATGAATTTGAAATGACTTATTTTTACGTTGTTTGATTTGTATCAGATTGTATTTATTTATGTAGAACGTTTGTTTCAATTCTGATCACACATTAAAAGGACAATGACCAAAAGTGGTCCAAATGTCCACCACTAATGAGACCTATATTGGATTATAGTCCATTAAATAGAGATTAACTTTCAGTATGGGAAGAAAAAAAAATAAGCTGTCAGTAAAAAGTTATGACTGTTTGAAAATTTGTAGTAGTTTACGCGCTAATATCAGGAACTACTGTTCCGATTTGAAAAAATCTTTTTGTTATGGCTATCCATAACAAAAAGATTTTTTCAAATAGGAACCATTCCCATTTATCAAGGATGGTTTTAGGTTAATAACATCACCCTACAACCAAAAAGTAAAGACAAATGTTGTAAAATTGGGAAATATTAACAAACTATTTTCACTCGTACAAAGTCGTAGGCACAACTAGTACATCGCGCCACATGCGACATGACATAACATGCGTAGATTAGTCCAAAAAAATGTGCGATGGATAGAATGATATCAAGAACATTTTTCGGATGAAAAGGTAAAAATCAGACTTTTCATACAGTCATAACTTTTTACTGACAGCATATTTTTGATTGCGGTTTGGTTATAATGAATCAGTATTTAGTAGACTATTTTACTACATAGGTCTCGTTAGTGGTGGACATTTGGACCAAACTCCATACATTTTTGGTCATTGTCCTTTGTAGAGTTCATATTATGATGAAAATTTGGATTGTTATCTGTAACGAGGTATAGATTAAATGTAAAAGCATTAACTATAAGTACCTACATAATATTAGGTCGTCACTTTTTTCGTAGATGTTGAAAGAGGCGACTAAAGGACAAATCATTATGCATCAGGCCTCCCCAACGAGACTGACCAGCGTGGGAATTGTAAGCTAAATCCTCCATTTGCCTTTAGTGGATTACTTAGAAAGTTCATGCTGTGTTTTTTTTTGTCAAAACTGTGTAAAATGCGTAGCATTGCATATTATTATACGGCTCTAAAGCCTTTAGGCTTCATTAATGTAGACGCATTTCATATTCCTCGAACTACCGGATCAAGCGTCCGTCAATGTGTTTTCTTCTAGTTGAAAAATACATAAAATGTATGAAAAGCTTTAGCGCTCCTGCTTGACAAAGTGTGACATAGTGTGACAAGGGGTGGGAGGTCCTAAGTTTCGTGACATCACATTTCAATTGTTTTAAATATTTGATATAATGTTGATTTTATAAAAAAAGTACTAATTTAAATGGAATTAAAAGTAATTTCGGAACTGCTGTTAATTTAATAATTTTTCGATGTGAAATTGCAAAACATGTGACGTCTCACTAGGGAGGGGGGGTCTCAGAAATGTGACCACCTGTGACAAGGACGGAGGGGGGGTAAAAAAATCATGAAATTCGTGTGACGTACTTTATGGATGGCCCCTTATGATAATAGCAATTATCTCACACAAGCGGCGCTCATGTTTATAGATGAGGTTTGGGATGAAAATTGATTACCTTAATCAATCACCAACGTATTAAATGCGGTATTGTACGTACCTATTTAACAATACCTACCGGGGAAGTATTCTTAAACCTTTACTGAACTTCTAATAGAAGGTTGCAAAATTACTCAAATATTTTTTATTCACTTATTCACTCATTATACGAGTACGAGTAAGCTAAAATAAGCTTGCGTTACGAGTGGTTTCACCATAAGAATACAGCAGCAGCGGGGTTTATACCAGCGTTCCTCAGATCCGAATCTTCACACCTTCACCGGCTATTGTCGCTACAAAATTACATAGATGTTCTCATAAATGTAAGGGTGTAATAGAATAGAAATGAGGTATATATAATGTGGTATATAAATACAATTTGGATGAGGGTTTGACAGTCTGAAATCTAGTGATTGTCGCGGGGAACATAAAACTTCGTTTTGCTCGTAGAAGTTCTTGGAGAAACCATTATTTTGTGCAACAGGCATTGGTTATGTTGGTTGAAAATAATGAAAAAAGGTATTTAATTCAGGCATAGATAGTGTTAGTACTTAACAAAGGTCTTAGAAACTATGTTATAGTAAATCATATAATTAAAGAACGACAATTTTATTATAGGTACATATTGAAGTGTTTTGGTGCCCTAAGACATAGGCAATCTTTGCCTACATTAGACACCAGTCTCCCACAATCTTAGTTGTAATCTAACAATAAAATAGTTGTAACAAATGCACTTTTGTACTATGATAATTTTATTGTGGTGAGAATAATAAACTTAATTTTGTTATTATTTTTATTATGTTGAAAAACTTTACACAAATTATCGTCACATGAGTTAAGCTTCTTTTCTTATATCGTTCTGTAATTGGTATTTGCACCTAATAGAGAAGTATTGACTATAGTTGCTTTACATCGGCACGTGGCTGTCCTTTACAGGCGACCGGTTTTGAGTTATCGAGACAGGTCGGGCGCCATCCCGTCCGGTATGTCATCATGCGACGAGGAAATTTCAAATGGAGCCGGCGGAAAAAGTGGTGCTAGGTTTCCGTTCATCCATATTTAGATATTTGAGATAGTAGGTTTATTTTACTACTTCTCGAATAGTTTTGTTTGTGAGAGTATGTTTACATTAGAATATTGAAGGTAACTAACTGTCTTTGACACTACAAGTACTGTAAATAAATAAATATTATCCTTATCCATGGACATTTTAATTTTTTTTTACTATGTAAACATATTCTATTTTTTGTCCCACATCTATGATGTGCAATGGCACTTTATGTAGTTTGTAGGATAATTAGATTCCCTCCAAACCAAAAACAGGAGAGTTGATCAAATGCTTTTGCATCAAATACGAGTATTGTTGGAGTGCGACTAACAGTCATTATTAAAAGACGCCCCATAAAAAGGGGGATACTTAATCGAATCCAATAATCTGATATCACGGAATGGGAGATCTGGTGAAAAATGAACTGACCTTCACTCCCCTATTAAGATCTCGCAGTCTGATCAGGCATTTGAATTTATGTAACTGCCATTCACTCCGTGGTCCTGGACTAAAGAGCTAGACTCTTGAATCGATAGTGCTATGTTCTGTTTCCAGATGGGATGCATAAAGTTTTTAAGTTATTTAGTATTTAGTAACTTGCTCAATTTCCAAGAACGCCTCGTTTTGATAACTGCACTCTCTGGAACCCAAGATACAAGCTATACTGCTTAGTTTGGGTCTCACTGGCAAATATTTAAATAGGTTAATAACTAGTGCATAGTTTAAGTAAATTGTTATTTTAGTCAAGAATATGTATATATTTTTGGAAATAATATATTTATTATTATTATTATCTCCTTTATTAATTTTTCTTTCTTATTTTTAATTTTTTCTTTTTACAATGTAATTTATTATTATTATGTTTGTACGCTTTGGAGCTCACGGGTCAAAAGTGGCCCGGTTATTATTATTATTATGTTTGTACGCTTTGGAGCTCACGGGTCAAAAGTGGCCCGGTCCTTTATAAGGCTTGCGTGGGGATACAGATCCAACACGTAGAGGCCGTTCTAAGCGCAAAATAATCGACAAAAGTGAAAGTGGTGCACATGCTGGATCTAGTCTCTGACTATATCATGGGATGTAGCCAGAGACCATCCCCAGCCTGTGCACAGGNGAATACCGGTGGTGACAAAAGTTCCCAGAAATTTTTGGTAGTAGATGACCGCTGGGGAGTTTTGTCACCAAGATTTCATAAGATTTTTGGTCTGTGTTTCTTTGTCAATTTGGGCGTGTTCCTTTACATGTATGGAGATATGCTATTTTTGACATCAACGTTGGTAAATTTAGCGTTATCTGTGATATTTCTTTAATCTGTGAGCGTTTTGTGAGCGATGTAAAAAAATGTTGAAATGGAACACTCTCAGTTTGACATGAGCCGTCAAATGTCGGATTTTTGAAGTTTTTATTTTTTATAGAAGAAATATTCTTCAAGTTATGTTGTGCTCTTATGTTTATCTTACAATACATTAACCAATTGACCTAATGAATAAAAAAAATAAGTAGGTTATCGCTTTAATTACGGAAATATGACATACTTTAGCTCTCAGTTTGATATGAGCCGTCACACGTCCGATTTTTAAAGTTTTTATTTTTTATAGAAGAAACATTCTACAAGGTAAGTTGTGCTCTTATGTTTATCTTACAACACATTAACCAATAGACCTAATGAATAAAAAAAATAAGTAGGTTATCGATTTAATTACGGAAATATAACATACTTTAGCTCGAGTATTAGCCATTTCTACAGCTAGTTTCGACTTTCATAGTTCATTGTAATTAATAATGTACACAAAAAGCAACGATAACAACACTGTTTGAAAGCTACATTCATCTGCTATCATAAAAACGGCACTCCATTCATAGCCCTTCTAAGAAGCGGTCATAAACATTAGTTTTTACGACTAGGGTCCGACGCGCGGCGGGTGACGTCATGCGGTCGGTATTCAAGGCCGTTTTTTGTTTATGCGTCTGGTGCGCGAGCGGGTATACCTTATTTTAATTTAATTTACTCACTTTTCATTACCAACGCTTTTGACATCGAACAGCGATAGATACTGTCCCATCCAGCTTCACTCTATCTCTTCAAGGCCGTTTTCTTGCTTGGGAAATTCAATTTAAGCCGTAGGGTGATGTTCTAATTAAAGTGGCGATGTATGCCACGATTGATGTCTACCACGATCGTTAAAATGTTTGTGTTCATAGTGGCAATACACATACAGTAATCTAAAATAAGGTACTGGGTTCAATACCTAGATGGNTAAGCGCAAAATAATCGACAAAAGTGAAAGTGGTGCACATGCTGGATCTAGTCTCTGACTATATCATGGGATGTAGCCAGAGACCATCCCCAGCCTGTGCACAGGAGCTATTGCAGTTATTGGAGAATGGACTAGGGTTATGGATGAAGGATGGATGGACTGGTTACTGGGCTATGGATGGAGACTACGGGACACCTGCCTGGTTCATAGTCTCGGACTGAAAAAATGGCAGGCGGTGACTAGCCAGTGACTAAATGGGCCCCTCCTGGCGTCATGGGTCGTATAGACCGGACTGAGGGGCAACATTGGCGTCTGCCAGCTCAGGGGTGTAGAGAGGTGTGCTGCGCTTTCTCCGAAGTTACTCGCGGCGTTATGCCCTTTAACACTTCCACCCCTGGAGCATATAGCTCTAGCGACTCCACTCTGGCCGGCCGGTTAAGGCAAGTCAGAGGTGAAAGTCCTGCAGACCCTCTCGGATTCCACTTCGGCAAGCCGAAGACGAGGGTCTTGACCGACTCTCGGGAGCACTCGGATTAACAACTGGCCCCGTGGTGTCGCTACTCACCAACAGCTCGCCACAAAGCTGCCCTGCGGGGCTTATTATTATTATTTTTATCATCATCGGTTCAATGTCATTGTCCGTGATTTCAGAATTGTAACATTCTAAACTCTAATCCTTTACAATTTAATACCTATGATAGAGCTAAAAGACACTATTTGTTAATCCATATTCATCTTGTATCTATGCTGTCATTATGATCCTACAATATTATAGTTTACATCCAAATGTATTCTAAACAAACAAACACTATCACAGAATTACGAGTATGTTTGCAATTAAACTCTAGTGCCAAACGCTTGCGGAGTCGAGCAAACTGTAGTAGAATATCCATATAAAGCTCTGCCAAAACATTCTGGATCTACTAGGTCAATAGCACGAGTTTAACCTACAGGGTTAATGTGTCACATACCGCTTTATGTCATAAACAAAATTTGTCTCCATATCACGCACTTCCATTGAAATTCAGGACCACATTTGCATGGCAATGTCCAAAATGTTTGGGAAACTTTGTTGTCCGTCAAAATAGTGACCCGGGCAATCAGTGACCTCATTGGCCTACTTTTAGATGTACGGACAGTACAGCAGCATTTTATGTAGTTGTAGTAGAGGCTATTTTGCTATGTAGTCTGCTGTCGGCTGTACTTACCGCTGTGAACAGTTAATGTAGTTAAAAGTATGTCGTCTTACATTAATTGGATTAAAAACTAATGTTGTGGACTAATTAGTATGAGAAAACCTATCGTATTGAAAAGATTGGTCTCCAAGGACCAGAAGTTAAACAGTTAGATTTTCTCAACCAACTCTCACGGGTTCTATTTTTTGTGTATTTGTTCCAAGTTTGGTTAAGAATTTAAATTCGAATATGAAGGGCCCTTTTTAGGGCACTTCCACACGTTCTCTACATACTTATTGCTTAAAACAAATTTTAATCATCTTTCCGTACGTTGGCCTTTTAAGCTATCAGTATTCATTTTTGATTTTTTAAAGTCATCTTTCTGCAAAACTTCCTTAATCGAATTTTTTCATGAAGACTACAATTAGCAGATTTGATAAAATCTTACCTTTAACAAATTGCATAGTAAAATGGCTGACAAATTCTTTAGGTACATACATAATTAAATCTAAATTAAACTCTAGAGATTCTTGAAAGCTACGACGAAAACTGATTTATATTATATTATATGTATTATGTAAGACAAAATATCTTAACGGTAAATTAACTTCAGACGGGTCTAATTGAGCACCTAATTATTATAATTAGGATCTACCTTACCTTGTAATTGTAAGGTAATAGGGCAATTAATATTGTCTTAAATAATAAAACAAGTCCAAAATTAATATTTAATTTAATTATACACTTGAATTACGAACCTACGCAACATTTAAAAGTTTAGTTGTTTATGAAAATCTTTGCAGAGATATCTTAATTTGAATTTTAAATAAGTTTCTAGTTTAAAATACTTGGTAGTAATGGAATTTTAATACTTTAAATTATCTATGGTGGTTAAGATCTCGTAGTGATTAAAGTTAATTTCTTTTGTTTATGAAGTACGCAAAATAAATGCTAAACATTATTAATTTCATCTCGGCTACTTTAAAACTATCTTTTTAGTCGTAAGCTCGATAAAGTTTTTTTTATATAGAATCTGCAATCAGCGCAGTGGCTTTTGTTAGATTTAAAGTCTTTATAAAGTAATTTAAAAGTTTTTGTGTTGAGCTTTAAGTTTCAAATTGATCCTAAATAGCAAATAACTTAACGAAATGGCTTCTTAGAATTAAAGTAATTGGATTTGTGGTATTAATCTCGTCGCTTGAATAATTTTCGAAAGTTCCAAATGCTAGGCAGAACTTAAATAATAAAGCTCTATCAAAAATATAGCTACGATATTAATTAATATTACTTACTGCGTGGGTTTATGTAAATATTTTCTAAGTTCGTCCATTTTCAGTGAACTCGTATTGTTTTAGTAATTTGTTATTAACAGCCTTTTATATTACAGGAGAAGTTTTGCTTTATTAATTTAATTAAAACGACTATTAAAACTGAGTGACTGAGAATGGAATGAAATTTTCTCTTTATTCAACAACCTACTACTTTAATAATAATTTACATGTTTATTTAAGACTTTGTGACTTTATATAGGTATTTTGCCTTTCATTTTGTACCTAATGGACTCATGACCTAATAAAGGATAGGAAAGATCCTGGACTACTCTAGTACCAGTGGCGTAACGTGGTTAGGCTGGCACTATATCAAACTTTACTGGGCGCCCCGTCAAAAAAGGTAATTTAAATCATGGGACCCTTTTCATCTAAACATGTCATTGCAA